ATGTTCATGTGGCAACAGGAAGGTGAAGGTAGAGGGGACAGGGTGGGGGTGGAGGTACTCAGGGCCCTCCTTTTTTTTTTTTTTTTAAATCATTTTATTAGGGGCTCATACAACTCTTATCACAATCCATACATACATCAATTGTGTAAAGTGCATTTGTACATTCATTGCCCTCATCATTCTCAAAACATTTTCTCTCCACTTAAGCCCCCGGCATTAGGTCCTCATTTTTCCCCTCCCTCCCGGCTCCCCCCTCCCTCATGAGCCCTTGATAATTTATAAATTATTATTTTGTCATATCTTGCCCTATCCGACATCTCCCTTCACCCACTTTTCTGTTGTCTGTCCCCCAGGGAGGAGGTCACATATAGTTCCCTGTAATTGATTCCCTCTTTCCAACCCACTCTCCCTCTACCCTCCCAGTATCGCCCCTCACACCACTGGTCCTGTAGGGATCATCTGCCCTGGATTCCCTGTATTTCCAGTTCCTATCTGTACCAGTGTACATCCTCTGGTCTAGCCAGACTTGCAAGGTAGAATTCGGATCATGATAGTGGGGGCAGGGAGGAATCATTTAGGAACGAGAGGAAAGTTATATTTTTCATCGTTGCTACATCATACCTCAGGGCCCTCCTTATGAGAGGTCCATGCCCACAAGGAATCACCATCAGGCCATGGCCTGATTGACAGGCCAGACTCCACCTCTACACTTTTATATATCAAATTGGCATGAAATTATGTAATGGCCACAGGGTCCAACAAGCAGGGTATACTCCACCTCCTCTTCTTGATGGTAGTGAGGTCCCTCAGCCACTGGGATTGATTCTACTCAAGTCTGGACATGGCAAAACTGACCAATCATCACCCATGTGGGCCACAGGCACCTTATCCATGTATCCCCAGCCAATCACAGCAAGAGTGTTACACACCATATTTGCATGGGCCCACCCACTATTTTTGTGGACATTATCAGGCTATATATAAAAAGAGAAACCATGCATTTCCCTCAGAGTTCTGGGTCAGAGACTGTCAGTTCCCCTAACAGACTGACATCAGCCCCCTCCTCTCATGCTTCCCCTATGGCCCCTCAGTGCCTTGGCTGTCCCACTCAGTCACTGCCTGAGCCAGAGCTCACTTGTAGACCTTGCATCCCTGTGTCCAATTTGAGCAGAGAGGGATGCAAGACAGAATTTGTGCCACAGCGCCATTGGCAAAGTGGGTGAGGACTAGCCCGAGCTCCTGAGAACTGCCCCATTAGGTTTCTGCGCCGTGCAGAGAGCATGAGGGCAGGGATCCCCACAGCTTTCACCCACAAGCCACACAGACCTGGACTGAGGGGCTGTGTAGAGCCCAGAGCCCCCAGCTCTGCACATTTTGCTGGACTTTCTGTGAGTGAGAAAGGAATGTGTACTGAGCTTGTAAGATGTGGGGTTTCTTTTCTTTTCTCTAAGATCAGGGGTTTCTGTCAGAGAAACTGGTGGTCCCTCCGCTGGTGCAGGAAGAGTACCTCCCAAGGGAGAGGCGCCCTGGCTGGCTCACAGATGGCCAGTCACTCTCGCCTCCCTGAGAGCATGCAAATCCAGGCAGAAAGTAGCACAGCCAGGCTGCTGGTGCTCACCAGGTGCACAGTGAGATGGACTCTGGCCACACATTGACTGTGGGGGGAGGGGAATCCTGTGTCACTTGGTCAGCTCTGGCAGGAAGGCAAGCACAGCTGCGGGTCACCTGCAGGCAGAGGGCTGCGCCTGTGAGCCGACCCCCACCCAGACCTTGCAGGAGGATCTGTGAATGCAGCCTGAGTTGCGGTCTCCCTCCACACCTGTTTGTCCTGGGGACACAGCCAACCAGCCCCCAAATCTTCCTGCCTGGGGCAGCCACCTGGTCTCTGCCACCCGGGACCCCATCTCCCTTCGAAGTGGGCTTCTCTTAGGAGACTACTGTCCTCAAGGTGCTGAGAGGGGTACACACAGCTGGAACTGTCCCCCTCCACCCACCACCACCCACCCAGAGTAGCTGGGAAGCAGGGGGGAGGGGACTGGGGAGAGAAGGCTGGGAAGGGTGAGGCTGCAAGAACGTGCCCAGCCATGGCTCTCTCCACCTGTTCAGTCCCTCACGTGGCCAGGTGCCCACCTCCAGCCAGCCCCTGGCTGGCCGGGGAGAGGGCTGTCCCACCCTCACCCACAGGCAGAAAGAAAGGCCCCACAGAGTTCACTCCAAGGCCCCCTCCCCCATCTGTGGGCGAGAGTCTGGAATTAGCAATGCCCCAGGAGTCCAAGCCAGCTCCCCACGGCAGGTGGGCAGCCTCCAATCTGGGCCCTGTCCCAGGCTGATCCTCTCACAGAGAGGGCAGCCTGGCTCCCCCTCCCAGACTCCTGCAGCAGCACCAAAAAAAGGATTCACCTTCACCGCCAAAGACAGCAGCAGCTCACAGAGGCCAGCTTTGAACAGCCGTAGCAGCAACCGTCCCAAGGGCCTGAGGTCAGGGTGGGCAGAATCTGCTGCTTCTGGGTACATGCAGTCCTGCGTGCCCCCAGAGCCCCTGGGACACACGAGCTATGTCACACCATCCTCTCAAGCAGGAGAATAATGGGCAGGTCCTTGCCACCTGGGGCAGTTCCCAGCTTGCACTTGAAAGACAGGCACACACTTCTGGTTTATTCTATTTCAACGCCAATTCCTGGCGCCGACCAGCTGTGACAGCTCCAATTACAGCTTCAAAGATTTCTGAGCCACAGATACGCATTCAGCCCCAGTGCTAGAGCCCCGCCCGCCGCAACCAACCCTCCCCACCGACCCGGAAAGTTTGCACCCACGCACAGGCCCAGAAGCAGGCCAAGCCTGGCCCAAGCCCCACCACCACCACCACCACAACTCGAGCACACACACACCGAGAATGCTCTCCACCCCAGATAGTCTGAGGGGGTCTGCATTTTACTAAGACCCTTGGCCATTTATAACAGAAACAAAATCTGAAGGGTGCCCTGTTTGAAGGCCGGCCCAGAGGCATGGCCTCACCTGAGGCTGATCCCTCCCTGCCCTCTGGACAAGGACATTGCCCCTGGAACTTGGCTTCCTGCCAGCTGCCCAGTCTTTGGAGTGCAAAAGAGGGAGGCATTGCATGAGATGGCTTGCCACAGTGGACTTGGACATAAGACAGCAGTGAGGAGGGTACAGGATGCAGCGCTGTTTCATTCTGTGAGTCTGAACTAACCGGACAGCACCTAACAGTAGGAAAGTGCAGCTCCCCAGCCAGACCGGCCACTGGGGATTGCATCTTGGGCCTCCCAGTCCATGCTGCTTGCTCAGCCCCATCGAAAAATATGGCTGGTGCTGGCTGGTCCCGACAGCTAATGGCATCCGGGCTCCACCGTTCTGGGTCACTGGGACCTCCCCAAAGGGATGACATTAGGAGCAGGTATCAGAGACCAAAGACCAGGGGCTAGGGGTCAGTTGTTTTTTGGGGGGGGTATCCTGCCCTGGGTGTACTGTCCTAGGAGGAGCTGCTGAGGGTGGTGGTGGGGGGTGGGGACTGGCAGTTATATAATCTCCTGTCAACTTTCAAAGGGGTGGAGTCTAGTGTGTCAATCAGGTCACAGCCAATAAAGCCTCTGTGTGGACATGGCCTTCTCCTGGGGGTTTTGGGAACTCCTGTCTTCCTCCCTGGAGGTGGGACACACACTGTCCGTTTCATCTTCCTGATGACAAGCTACATGGAGACACACTGATGGAGCCAGAGCCCTGGAGCTGGAGGAGCCACATGGAGACCCACACCAGTGCTGAGATGCTTCTACTGCCACTGGATCTACAAGACTTTCCACCCCCTGGCCTGCGATCTTCCTGCAATCAGCATCATTGCATGGATGCGTGAGTCTGAAGAGAAATTCATGAACTAGTATTGGACATATGGGCTGATATTGGATTTATGGACTTGATCAGGACTGGGCTGGGTTGTTTCTTAATATACAATTGCTCTTTGATCTAAAGTTCTCTCTTACACACAAGTGTCAATGAATTTGTTTCTCTAGTCAACCCGGGCTAACAGGGGTACACCTCCCTAAGAGGAGCTGCCTTGGGGGAATCTTCCCTGGGTGGGCCTGTGTGAGTGACACAGTCCTGGAGACACTGCTCGTGGTAGGTCCAATGACTTGCCCCATGCAGGGGCCCTTTCGGGTGCTAGCACTATGCTGACAAACACTTTGCTTTCCTGCACTACAGCTCAACAAAGGAACAGAGTCGGCCATCTGCCCAGGACCCTGCAGAAAGGAGCGAGACCCCACTTAGCTCCTCGAGATTGCCCTCCTGACCTGGCACCACCCACGTTCACAAAGGACTGGCATCGGGGAGGATTTTTCCTTGTCCTGAGGGAAGCCACAGGTCTGTCTCCCGAATCTCACTTATGTATGGTTCCCTGCGGTTTCATCCAAGTCAGCAGTTAGAAGCCACCAGTCGCTCAGAGGGAGAAAGACAAGGCTCTGAACAGGAACAGGGGCAGCTCAGGTCCCTGAGCTTTGAGCAGCTCCATCTGGATCTGCTCATTCGCGGGGTAAAGGGCCACGCTGTCGCTGGTGCCCGGGCCTGCAAAACAAGGGCCTTCTCCCAACAGGAGCAGCCCCATTCTCCGCAGTTCGGTCTGGGCCTGGCCGTCGCTAACAGCCCAGGGATGAACGGAGTAGCCCGAGAACTGGCGCAAGAGGATAAAGCCGCACCCTGCGGGGCGCAGGACCGCTACCCTGGTGGCACGACTCGGCGGCCCCGCCCCTAGACACGCCTCCGGACTCTCGAAAGCGCGGCGTTGGCCCTCTCACATCCCGCCCCCGAACCCGCGCAATCACAGCCAGCGCAGGCCCCGCCCAGTCCGGCCGCGCGCAGCCCCGTTCTCCCAACTGGGGGCGGGGCAGAGGCGGGGCCTCGCGGAGGCGGAAGCGCTCTCTGCGCTAGCGGTGGCCCGCGCCCGTGGCTCCGCCCCTTTTCGGCCTTCCGCCGCGGCTCAGGCTTAGGGCCCTCCAGGTGAACGAGGTCAGGCCGCCGGAGAATCTGAAGGTGTCCTGGTCCTTGAAGGCGTCAGGGGCTCAGGGGCTCGTATCCCGGGCCACGGCCTCCTGGCTTCTGTAGGGTCCGGGTCTCCAGGGACGAGTCCGAGTTTGTCCCGAGGGAGGGGGGTTTCCTCCTGGACCGAGGGTCTCCAGCCAGGAGTGACACCTGAGTCTGGGGTCTTTGGGGTGGGGTCACGCCTGGTCCTGGAGTCTCCGGTCAGTTTGCCCTCCTCCCCAGGGGTTGGGGGCAGGCCCTTCTGTCGCCATGGGGGCTCTGTGGCCCCTCGCGCTGGCCCTGGCCGGCCTGACCGCGGCCGGCCCTCCGAACTTCGTGATCATCTTTGCCGACGACCTGGGCTATGGGGACCTAGGCGCCTACGGCCACCCCAGCTCCGCCACCCCCAACCTGGACCAGCTGGCCGCAGGGGGGCTGCGGTTCACCGACTTCTACGTCCCGGTGTCCCTGTGCACGCCCTCGCGGTGAGTGGGCAGAGGGGGGCCGCTGCGGTCACTGCATCATGGGACTAGAAGTGTCTGTCCCCACCAGCCCCTGCCCTTTTCTCCGCTCCCCGGCAGGCCTCCCGCTGCCTCACAGACAATGTGCCTTGTCTGCAGGGCCGCCCTCCTGACTGGCCGGCTCCCGGTTCGTGTGGGCATGTACCCTGGAGTCCTGGAGCCCAGCTCCAAGGGGGGACTGCCCCTGGAGGAGGTGACCCTGGCTGAGGTCCTGGAAGCCCGCGGCTACCTCACAGGCATTGCTGGAAAGTGGCACCTCGGAGTAGGCCCTGAGGGGACCTTTCTGCCCCCACACCAGGGCTTCCACCGCTTCCTGGGTATTCCATACTCCCACGACCAGGTAGGAAACGCCCACTGGGGGCCGGGGTGCTCTCCCACGGAGCCTCCCTCCTCCCACAGCCCCCAGACCCCTTACCGGAGCCACTCCTCAGGGCCCCTGCCAGAACCTCACGTGCTTCCCACCTGACACCCTGTGTGAGGGCAGCTGTGACCAAGGCCTGGTCCCTATCCCACTGCTGGCTAACCTCTCTGTGGAGGCACAGCCTCCCTGGCTGCCTGGGCTGGAGGCTCGCTACCTGGCCTTTGCCCAGGACCTCATGGCCGATGCGAAACGTCAGGGCCGCCCCTTCTTCCTCTACTACGCTTCCCACGTGAGTACCCGCCCTGCCCCGTCCCACCCCCCCGGCCTGTCTGTGTCCCGCCGTGCTGACCCTACCCTCTGCCGCCAGCACACCCACTATCCCCAGTTCAGCGGGAAGAGCTTTGTGGGGCTCTCCGGCCGCGGGCCATTTGGGGACTCCCTGATGGAGCTGGACGCGGCCGTGGGGGCCCTGATGGCCACCATTGGGGACCTGGGGCTGCTCAGGGACACGCTCGTCATCTTCACTGCTGACAACGGGTATGCAGCCCTTCAGCTGGCACTGGCTGAGGAAGGCGGGGTGGGGCCAAGACTGGGCCACAGCCCCCTAGGTGGTAGAGGTTGGGGCTGAAGGCCTGGGTGCCTTATCGCTGACGGTCTATCTGGTGTTCCCCAGGCCCGAGACCATGCGCATGTCCCGTGGTGGCTGCTCCGGCCTCCTGCGTTGTGGGAAGGGGACCACCTATGAAGGGGGCATCCGAGAGCCAGCCCTGGCCTTCTGGCCAGGCCACATCACTCCTGGTCAGTCCTCAGGTCTTCTCCAGGTAGACCCAGCGCCCTCCCAACTGAGTGATTGACAGACATCTGCTCACAGGGGTGACCCACGAGCTGGCCAGCTCTCTGGACCTGCTGCCCACTCTGGCCGCCCTAGCTGAAGCCCCACTGCCTAATGTCACCCTCGATGGCTTTGACCTCAGCCCCGTGCTGATGGGCACAGGCAAGGTAGGCTGTAAGCCCAGGGGCTGGGAACCTGAGGGAGCATGGTGTGCGTGTGGGCATGAGCATGGGCAGTGTCCCTTGCTCTAGTTGACTGCTAGGCAAGTGACCCTGGCTGATGGCTCCTGGCCTCCCCAATTCCATGACCCCTGCCTTTGCCCCAGAGCCCCCGGAAGTCCCTTGTCTTCTACCCGAGCTACCCCAATGAAGTCCAGGGGGTCTTCGCTGTCCGGAGCGGAAAGTATAAGGCTCACTTCTTCACCCAGGGTAAGCCCTCCCCGCCTCCCTCCTGCCTCCTGCCTCCCCACTTCTACGTCCCCACTCATCCCCTGCCCACCAGGTTCTGTCCAGAGTGACACCACTGCCGATCCGGCCTGCCAAGCCACAAGCCCGCTGACCGCCCACGAGCCCCCACTGCTCTTTGACCTGTCCACGGACCCAGGCGAGAACTACGACCTCCTGGGGGGTGTGCCCCTGATCTCTCCAGAAGTGCTGCAGGCTCTGAAGGAGATCCAGCTGCTCAAAGCCCAGTTTGATGCGGAAATCACTTTCAGCCCCAGCCAGATGGCCCAAGGGGAGGACCCAGCACTGCAGGTCTGCTGCCGGCCTGGCTGCAAGCCCTGGCCAGTTTGCTGCTCCTGCCCAGACCAGGGCCCCAACTTGGGCCTCAGTGGAGAACCCCAACTCCATCCTGAGCCCCATGCCCTGCCCCAGCCTGAGCCCCCATCTCAGCCTCAAACTTCGCTCCAACCCCAGCCCAAGCCCCAGGCCGTGTCCCAGCTGGAGCCCCACCCTGAGCTCCAGCCTTTCCCTAAGAACCCTGAGATCCGGCCCCATCTTGAGCTTCATCCTGGCCCCCCCAGAGACCTGGACCATTTGTGACTATGAGCCTATTTACGCGGGTGCAGGTATGTGCAGGTGTGCTTGTACCTGTAAGGATGATAACATGAGCTGACACACAGGTTGTGTCCAGCCCCACTCTGACCTGTAGGTGTAATATTTCATCTAACCCTCATGCTAACCCTGTGAGGTAGGTGCCGTGTCCACGGAAGTGCGAAAGTGGCTAAGGGCTCGTGTCTGCTGGGAGCTGGGGCAGGGATGGCGGGGAGAGGGACAGGCCCTTCTCAGGTCTGTGGGAGGAGTGGAAGAAGCAGGCAGCCTAGGGAGGCCCAAAGGCACCTGGAAGGTGGTATCAGCAGGTCCTGAGGGCTCCACTTGAACTCCTGACCCCGAGAGCCAGCCCTTCCCCAGCAGACAAGGTCACCTTTGAACACCATGTCAGGTTGTGTCTCAACAAAAAGACCATAGCCAACCCCTGCCACCTGCCCAGCTGTGTCCCCTCTTTGCTGAGGTCCCAGCACAGCCACCTGTGCACAAAGGACCCAGCTCCCTGCCCCACTCCTCCCCATGCCAGCCCCCCCACCCCCATCCCCAACAATGGTCATGCCCACTCAGTCACTGCTGGGAGCGGAGATGGTGGGAAGCAGTGCATGTGCAGGGCGCTGGGCCTTTTCCCCAGCATGCAAGTAGGACAATGCCCATGAGTGTTTCCTGGGCAAGAGGCATGGGGCTGGGGCTGGTCATGAGGCCCCCAGGTGTGGATAGTCCATGAACATCTGAGAGGGCAGCTACCTTCTGCTCACAGATCCACTGCCTGGCCAACTGTTGGACGAGCAGCCAGTATGCATCTGTGCCCAGGGTATCTGGGGAGGGGCCAAGGGGCAGAGAAGCAGGCCCTCTTAGCCCCCTTGCTCTTGCCTGGATGCATTTGTGTGCAGAGATGTGTTTCTTGTTGCTGTAACTGCTTTTTCCCAATGAACTATCCTGTGGGCTCTCTCACATACACTCAGGTGAGTCCATGTGTGTAGTAAGTACACATGACTGGCCATGCACATGTCGACACCCAAGCACATACCCACATGCATCAGCACACATGCACTCTCATGAACACATGCAGACCTATACATTCACAACCATGCTTGTGTGCACATCCACACACAGGTGCACATTTTTCCTGGCCGGCTGCACCATCCCAGCACGTCCATTCCTGCAACTTGACATGGGGAGCACAAGCCGCTGGTCAGGCGGTCCCTGCCTGAGGCACTGCATGTGTGAGAACAGGCAGAGCAAACAAGCCTGAGCTGGTGGTGTGGCCATCACTCGGGGTAGTGGGGGGGTGGGGGGGGCGGCCCCGGGGCAGGGCTGCCCGAGGCCAGGAGGGGGCGCAAGGGGGCCCTTCCATGGTCCCTGTTACACGGAGGTCCCTGAAGCCCTTCTGTGAATATGAGCACACAGCAGGTCAGCCACGCCGCTGAGCAGGTGTGCACCCACCTCACTCTTCACTGGTCTGTGACCTTGTTGGCTTTGCACTTTGGACACTGCTCTCCCAGTGTCTGCCACACCCCTCTCCAAAGCCCCTCTAGGAGAGCCCTCCTGGGCAGGCAGTCCATGGGCCCTCTGCCAGGTAGTGCTGAGGAAGGCTGAGAGGGGTGAGCAGGCAAGGTTTATGGTGGCTGTGGTGATGTGGGGTATGGCTGACTCTCAGACCAAGCCCTCTGTATGGACAGTGCTGAACCCCATGGGGAGATGCCCCCAGAAGTGAACAGCTGGCTGGGGTCCACAGGGACTTTGTCACAGCAGAGCGCCCTGGCTGGGCTGCCCATGTGCAGCCCTCCTGTCCTGTCCACTCAGGCACTTCACCCCCAACAAGCTCCCCTCTGCTGAAGCTACCTAGTCGCAAAACCCCACGTGGTACCGAAGGACAGGTGGTCCTGACCGTGATCATGAGAAACATGGCCCCGTTGTGGAAGCCATGCCAGGGGACAGAGACACAGTCGGACTCAGGGTACACGCTACAGGTTGTGTCCCCATGGCTGCCCAGCATGAGCTGGGCATGCTGGTTCTTACTGTCATGTCCTAGGTAAGGAGCCCAGGGGTCCAGCTGAGGCTGGAGGTCCTCAGCGGACCTCAAGCTGGACATCCTGATCAACAGTCTGTCTCCCTGGGTAAACTCCCCATGGCCAGAGGCTGCTGCTAGGCAGGGTTGTGGATCCCAGGATATGGGAAAGGGGCCCAACAGGTTGCCTGCCCAGAGTGGGGAGGCCAGGCCCCTTTGCCAGGCAGGCACAAGGCCAGCTCTTCCTCAGAATGTGCAGGAAGCAAATAAGGACCAGAATGAGACTGTCCTCTCTCATCAACTTAGAGGGCTGAACTGGCTTTAGGGGCAAAGTTGCTTTGTCCTCCACAAAACTGGGGACACCTGTGCTCCCATGATCGATGTGCTGACAATGTCCAAACCAGGTCATGCAAGACAAGGCAGCAGCCATGCTCTGGTTTCTAAGCCAGCTCCATGGAAGGGACAGGAGATGCCCAAGGCCCAGGGGGACTGCCCTATACCAATCTCGCATGGGTCTCACACCTGCCAAATCCTACATCTGTGCCCACACCTGAAAACCAGGTGAGGCTAGCTCCCAGCTGCACTTGGGAAAGTTCCAAGTCCCCTGCTCTGCTGAGCACTTCCTGGGGAGGGGGAGTGGCCCTTCTTGGGGTGCCACTTGCTTCTCAAATAGCCTCACTCATGGGAGGGGGTGGGGAGCCTTTGAGCCCCAGGCTAATGGATGGTCAGTGGGCTTCCCACCCCAAGTCTGCCTTCTACCCACCTAAACTGCATGAGAAATAAGTGGGGCTGAGGAGCAGAGCCTGCTTCCCCTCCCCTACTGCCTGAGAGGCCATGTCTGAATCAAGAGGTCAGGAACCCAGGCACAAGCTCCTTCAGGATGGTGCCAGGAGACAGCTGAGTGTGTACCTGGGGCCTGGTCCTTGCAGTGCCCAGGGGTGGTGGTAGTGGTGGTGGTGGTCTCTAAGCAAAGACAGTGGAACAGTTGTCAAAAGAGCTTCCCCCTCTGCCCCTCCTCCTGGAGGTTGAGGGTGATAGTGGGACAGCAGCCCCAGTGCAGTCACGGGGACAGAGGTCTCTCTCTCAGGACACGAGATAAGGAGGTGGACCCTCCACACAAGCTCGACACTGCCATTCTGGTGGGCAGCAGCACCCTTTCAACCCAGACCTCTGCTGGAAGCGGGTGTCCCAGGGCTGCGCCTCGGCTGGGGGAGAGGACCCCCAGGGCCCAACCTGGAGGCCACCTCTAGTCTTGGAGGGTGTCAGTGGGGCTCATCACAGGAGTTTCTGGAGCTCGGTGGGCAAGGTGGGGCTGCCTCCTGCCCAAGTGCTGCCCTGACCAGCCTCAGTTTCCCAGCCAGCGCACCAAGTGCGGAGCACCCGGAGGGGCAGCCCTGATACAACACTGTCAGGGTGCCTTCCCAAGCCACCCCCATGCCCAATCACCCTAAGTGGGCGCCCCTAAGGAATAGCGGGTCACACCAAGAGGAGTTTATTGAGGCTGGAGTGGGGGGCCCACGTACAGCATAGGAGCAGATACAGGTGCATAGGACCGGGGTGTTAGCAGCGCAAAGCGGACAGGCCCAGGGCACCCTCCTCTGAGAGCCTCTTCTAGGCCCCAAGGCTCTCCTGGGGACCCTCTCTGCGGTCCCTGAGCTCCGGGTGGGGCAGTAGGGGGCCTCTCTGTCTCTGTGATCAAGGGCAGGAGGGCCCCCAGAGTCTATAAAAATTAAAATTTCTTTATAAATGATGGGGGGCAATGGTTCAGTTGGAAGCCTCACCTTCCCTCACCTCCTTGTCTGGGCCCAAGTCGAAGAGGGCAGGCACAGAGAGGGGCCAGATGGACGCAGGAAAAAACGGGGGTCAGAGATCAAGGGGCAGACGAGGACAGGGTGACACCAAGGAAGGCTGTGTCAGAGGGGAAGAAAGAGTGGGCTGGGGGCCCTCTCTCCTATAGCCCCCACAGGCCCTGTCTGGGGAACAAGGAGGAGGGAGGAGTTCTTGGTTTCCCTGCAAACATTAGGGCCCCTAAATTCACGCCCCTAATTTAGTCCTTGCTGAAGCCTCCTGGCCTGTGACACCACACACACCCCTACCCACCCACCCCTCCAGCGCTGCTGCGCCTGGAGTAGGTTAGGCAGGCAGAGCAAGTAGGGGCGCAGCTACTCCAGGTAAATGTCTTCGGTGGGACAGGCATACTCCAGGTGCTCTTGGTAGTACTCCAGGAAGGCGCGGCTGGAGGCGGAGAGTGGGGGTGGAGTTGCTGCCAGCTGCCCCCCAGCCCACCACCCTCTCGGGATTCCCCTGGCCCTGCCAACCCTCACCCCTCCTTGGGGTTCCACTGACTCACCCATGCTGACCCCACTGCAATTGCCCCAACTCTCCCTGCGCCCTCTCCACTCACCCCACACTCTGCGCCACTGGCCGCATGGACTCCTGGGAGACGAACACGTGGCAAGCGAAGCGGCTCAGCAGGGGGTGCTTGGTGATGAAGCCGAAGTAGCTGGGGGTGGACCATGGGGGCAGGTCAGAGGCTCCACCCTCAGGCCCATCCCTCAAAGATTTGGAGAAATTTGAGGAGGCAAGGGAAAGAGGGTCATGGGGCTTTGGGGTGCCAGTGCCCAGAATTCCTAGAAATAGTGGGGGTCTTCCCAGGATCCAGTCAGAGCAGGGAGCCAACACCCTGGCATGGGCCAGGGGGCTCAGCCGCCAGAGTGCCCCTCTTACGCCAGAGCCAATGTGGCCAGCACAGCCCTCAAGGGTGCAAGTTCCCACAGGCTTTCTGAGGTGCCCTGCTGCCTCAGAACCGCATCCTGGGCCTGCCCTGTCCACTGGCGGGGCCTGCGTGCTCTTGGTTACTTCAGGGGCCAGCTCCTAAAACCCCTGCTTGCGCATGTCCAGAATCCACTCTCCCTGCTCTCCCTCAGATGCTTACTGGGCAGAGGAGTCCACGTCTGAGGCCTGTGATCTCACCCAGTGGAGCCCATGAGACGTGCCACCCCCAGAAAGTGAGCCTCCCCTGGCGTCCGGAATCACCTACAAACCACGTCGCAATAACACTGCGAATGGAAAGTGTCCTTGTCTCCAGGGACCCACTGGCCATGCCCTGCCCTGCCCCTGGAAACTGGCACAGAGCTGACACTTGGAGCACCTGGCCACAGGCTTAAGTGCTATCCAGAGCCGTAGACCCACCACATCGCCCTGTGAGGGCCTTGCTGTACCCTGGAACACAGAAAAGCTATGGCTCCAGACTCAGGCTAGCGAGGCCCACTGCCTGTCTCTCGTCCCCAAGCCCATGCGCCAGCAGCTGCTCCCCAGAAAGTCCAGGGTCAAGAGGGGGCATGGAAATAGGACTGTTCTTCCTTGCTTTGGTGGCCACACTGCCCACTGTCTCGGACGGAGGCCTTCTACTGTCTGGTTTGAGCCCACCTGCTGTCCAGCCTCCCCACAGCTCCCAGCAGTATCTCCCCATCCCGCTCCCTGTCACCAAAGCCCCCAGCACCCTTCCCACAAAAAGTGCCCAAATGGTGCAGCATAGCCCTGCCATCTGTTTCAGCCTCCACCTGACATGGGAGACCCCCTCCCACTCTCCTGCCAGGCCTCCAGCCAAGCTCATGGGCCTCCAGGTGGTCTCCCCCCACCTCCATGAGCCGAAGGGATGCAGCAGCCCTCATGGCACCCTGCGACTCTGGAGCCTGCATCCCCTGCCACCCGCTGGCCAGGCCCTGCCCCTCTCCTCTTTCTAGAAGTTGTCCCTTGTCACTCAGCCTGGGTCATCTCATCCCTTCCTGCCCTAAACTCAGCCGCTCACCCCATGCCTCTCTCCAACACTCTGAGCCACTTCTAAGCTGAGTCATTCTGTCCTTCTCCTGGGGTGTGGCCCCACCTGCAGGGACCCCAGTCCACCCCACATCCAGCCTGCCCCACCTCTCCTGCGTCTGCTTTCTCTTGCCCACACAGCCAACCACCTGGGTGACCTTCTGACGAGGAACACCTGTTCCTACTACAGTGGCTAGAACCACTCTCGACTGGCCCCAGGGCTGTGCCATGCTGGCACAGAGCACCTCACAGACCACCGCTGGTAGGTTAGCACAGGGTCCTTAGCACAAAAGGCCTAGGTCTCTACTCACCCTACTCACTCCCCAATGCCGACAGTAGAGCCCCCACAGGTCTTTGCTCAGCTGCCCCCACCCCTCGCTGTGTCAGAGGTCCAGCAGGAGAGCTCAGTGGTGCCCTGCAGACAGCATTGGTGGCCCAGTGACATCCAGCTCCCACCCAGGCTATCTATAAGCCTGTCTGACTGTTTTCACCGAGCCCAGAACAGAGGAGGGTCCAGCACACAGAGGGCACGGTAGCCCTGAGATAGGGTGGGCAGAGCAGGCACAGGAGACTCTCGTGTCTCGGGGACTTGGAGGGTGGGCTCACCAGCTGTTGCGGGGGTGGCAGCCACAGAATGAGATGTTCTTCATCTGGAAGAAGTGACTGCAGCGCTCAAACTAGAGCAGAGGGGGCAGACACACTAGTCAGACCAAGGGGAAGCCAGGCAACCAGGCCATCCCACAGGCCAACCCTCCTGGGCCTCGGCCCACCTAGCTCTCACCTCAGGACCCCCACCACTCAGACTCAGCTTGACCCCCCGAAGAGAGATCTCGAGGTCACAGGACGCAGGAGGACGCAGGTGCACAGTCAGCTTCCGGGCCGTGGCAATCTGGAGAGGAAGTCCAGGGTGGAGGATTCAGGGACTCTCAGGGCCTCATCCCTGTCTCCTCCTCGTCGGACTGCTTTGTCTCCTTCCCTTCATAGCCAAGGAACAGTGCTGAGGCTGTAAGAGCCCTCAGCCTCTTTAGTACCCTCCAGCTTCACTGTCCTTCCCAAGGTGTCTACCTCCCCCCCACCACCCCTTCACACCACTCCAGGGACTGCTCACACCCATATCAGGGGAACCAGGGCTAGAGGAGCTGGCCTGCTTTTTTCAGACAGAAGCTGGACAAGCTGAAGGACAGGAGGGGCCAGCAGAGGACAGGCCCACTGAGCTGGCTGAGAGGGGACAGGCCAGCTGCTGGGCCAGTCGGCGCAGCCTCTGAATCAAGCGTGTATGGTTGCTGATCTGGCTCCGGAGCACCACTGTGCCCTGACTGGAACCCCCAGCTCACACCCTGACCCACCCCCTTGCAGGACCCCAACCCAGAACTGACCTTTTGCATGGCCGCACACAGGATGCCATTGCCTTGGTGACAAGGTACTTCCACAGAGCCCAGGAACTGCACATCAAATCGGTCCACCCAGCAGGGGCTCCGCTTGCTCCCTGCAGAGCCACACAGGACCCAGGTCAGGGGCCAGGGCTGGGGTGGCAGTCGCCCCCCACCCGGGCAGGGCCTCACCCATGAGATCCTTGGCAGGGCCCGGCACCGCATGAGCGTAGAAGGCGGGAAAGATCCCCCAAGCTCCCGTCCGCATGTTGAAGCCGCGGGACCAGAAGTCATCCTCCTCGGCCTCCACTAACACTGGGTCGTCCACGTCCAGCTCCAGCTCGTCCGGATGGCGAGGGATGAACCTGAGGTCAGGAAGCGGTGACATCACAGAGCGGGCAGGGCTGGCTGGGCAGTTTTCCAGCCCCCAGCCAGGGCGCCCAAATGCCTGCGGTCCTCAGTGGCTGGGGCCAGGGAGCAGCTATACCTGAACACCGCGCGGTGGGTCTGCTCTCGCTCCTCCCCATTCACCAGGCAGGAGAAAAGTCCGAAGGACTCAGTGCCTGAGACAGAGATGGGAGAAATGGAGAGAAGGGTGACAGAGACGGGGAGACAGAGACAAGATGGGGGGAGACAGGTGGGGAGAGATAGAGGAGGAGATAGAAGGGAGGCAGGAATGGGGAGAGATAGAGAAAGGAGGAGAGACACACCGGGAGACAGAGACAGAGATGGGGAGGAAAAGTACCTCAAGGCCTGGGCTGGGCCAGACCTCCCAGCCCACTCCCCACCCAACATGTTCTGGCCTAGAGGGCAGCCTTGACCAGGAGGGCCTCAAGGGCCTCTCTCTCTCTCTCTCTCTTCTCTGCCCCTCCCCCCCACCAACTCACTGGAGGACCGAGAAGTGCTGTTGACAAAGACATTGAGAAACTTCTTGGAGAAGGTGAGGTCTGGGCTGTCCGGGGAGGCATCTTCAAGATCTCCGCTGCCGCTGCTGCCCAGCAGCCCAGGGCCCACCTCCTCCTCGCTGGCCTCGCTGTCGCTGTCCTCCTCGCTGGCCTGGCCCAGGCCGGCGCAGCGCCGCAGGCTCACCAGCTCCAGCTGCGTGTGCTC